GTGCTGGGTGCTCTCCGCAAGCTCGTCCTCCTCCTCCTCCTCCCCACCCGCAGAATCCTCAGGTGTAGCTGATGAGATTACCCCCGCCTCGGAATCCACGGTCAGAGGTGGGGTAGTGGTGGCGGCCCCCCCTAGAACTGCATGCAGCTCGGCGTAGAAGCGGCATGTCCGTGGCTCTGACCCGGAGCGTCCGTTTGCCTCCTTTGTTTTTTGATAGGCTTGTCTGAGCTCCTTGACTTTCACGTGGCACTGATCTGAGTCCCTATTGTGGCCTCTCTCCATCATGCCCTTGGAGATTTTTTCAAAAGTTTTGGCATTTCGTCTTTTCGAACGAAGTTCTGTTAGCACTGAATCCTCTCCCCATATAGCGATCAGATCCCATACAGTCCATGCTGGTGCTCTTTTTCAATTATCGGCCTGCATGGTTACCTGTGCTGATGAGCTGAGCTCTCTGTGGTCACCTGTGCTCTCCACACTGAGCAAACAGGAAATGAAATTCAAATGTTCGCGGGGCTTTTCCTGTCTACCTGGCCAGTGCATCCAAGTTCAGATTGCTGTCCAGAGCGGTCACAATGGTGCACTGTGGGACAGCTCCCGGAGGCCAATACCATCGAATTGCGGCCACACTAACCCTAATTCGAAATGACAATATCGATTTTGGTGCTACTCCGCTCGTCGGGGTGGAGTACAGAAATCGATTTTAAGTGCCCTTTATTTAGAAAGAAATGGCTTCGTTATGTGGATGGGTGCAGGGTTAATTCGATTTAACGCTGCTAAATCCGAATTAAAGTCATAGTGTAGACCAGGCCAAGGCTGGTAACTATAACTGATTACTGCGGAACCTGTGTGAATGCTTGTGTGAATGAATGAATGTAACAACTGTCTCTTGTATTTGCAATTTACGTGGCATTTTGCCTTATCCCTCTTAAAAGATCTTGCTGATATTCTTTTATTAGTATAACACAGCAATTGTTTTACTTTCATAACTGACGCGGGAAGCTCAGCGATGCTGGGCCATGAACTGCCCGGCCCAGAGGTGCCGGGAATCAGCCTGGCACAAATGAAGCCCTGAGCGGAGTGAAAAGAGCATGAGACTCACAGGGGCTTCCCAGCATTTGACTGGACATCATCCCAGTGAGACATTTAATTCAACGTAGTTAAAAGAGCCAGAATGAATTTATCTCTGTGTGAGAAACGGGGCAAAGTCCCACAAAAGAAAAATTACAACACGGGAAATGCTGCTTGTACCTAGCCCTGCATGAGTAAAAGATTATTCGACTGCAGTGGGAAGGGAAGGGTTAAAAAGGACTTTGCCCGTAAGGGTCTCTGTGGGGAGGCTTTGGCAGTGTGCTTTGGAGATGGACAGAGAGCAGATTGCCGAGTTACAGCAGACAAGGAAATAAACCCGTTTTGATCGCCCTGGTTAACTCCCAAACGGGGAGACCTGCCCTTTTACAGTCTTTATGTTCCTCCACCTGGGAATGAGGTAGATACTGGCAGCAGCAGCCAGTGAGCAGGGAGCAGATTTGCATGAAGGGGCCGTTCTCCAGCGCTGGGGGTTTAAGAGAGAATCGGAGGGTCCCAGCCACAGACCCGTTTACCTCAGGAAGCCGAGCTCGTCTGGATTCCCCACCATGGCCTGGGCCCCTCTGCTCCTCACACTGCTCACGTACTGCTCGGGTAAGGAAAGGATTCTTCTTCTGAGATTTAATTTTAAATGTTTCTGTCACTGACCTTGTGATTTTTCTTGTTTACATGGATTCTTGGTCCTGTCACCTCCAAGCACAAGAGTTAATCCAGAGGTTTCTATCTGTTTCCAGGGTCCCTCTCCCAGTACACTCTGACTCAGCCGCCCGCAGAATCCGTGTCCATTGGCAACACAGTTAAACTCTCCTGCGCCCTTAGCAGTGGATACACATTTGGAAGTGTTGTGTGGTACCAGCAAAAAAATGGGAACATCCCAAGATACCTTCTGAGGTACAAGACGGACTCTGACAAGCACCAGGGCTCTGGGATCCCCAGTCGTTTTGCTGGTTCCAAAGACGCCTCTAATACAATCGGCTACTTAACCATCACCAGCGTCCAAGCAGAGGATGAGGCTGATTATTACTGTGCTACAGGGACTGCACAGTGATGCAGCCAAATGGGGAACTCAGACACAAACCTCCCACTTCTGTCCTTCAGCCTCTGCCCAGCACGAGTTCATCACGTGTCACTGTTACTGCTGCTGTTCTGTGGGCTCATGGGGCCAGTCCCCTGTCACAGTAACTCACAAGCTTTACCACCTTCTGACTAGTTAATGCCAAATCTTCTTCCCATTGGAACCAGTTGGCGTTTGGCCTTTCACTTTAGTAGAGGCAGGACCTGACTCTTAATACAACTTTAGTCCTTAGTTAGGTTAAATTATAATTCTAAACAAAATCAGAAAACATTTTAAAATCTGCTTCCCAAATATGTGCGGTGAGCTAAGGCAGTTCCTGTTAAACACAAGTGTGTAGTTAAATGAAGATCCAGTGAGATTCTTAGAATGAACAGCCGGGAGTTAGATCCCAGACATTTCACACACACACCGCGGGGGGAGGGGAGGGAAGAAGAGTCCATCAGGGTAGGAAAAGTCTCATTAGGAAAGTGTGAGCCTGCAAATGACTCTGTTAATAGAGATCAAAGCCTCACTGGGACTCACTGAGTAGAAAGATCCCTTCCCCTGCATGCCCCCTCCCCTCCAGAACCCTGCCCTGTACTTGTCTGATGAGTTACAGGGGGCTCCTGAGTCCATGATGTCTCTAGATATAAACTATTAACACGCAAGGGGAGTGTGAAGGCAGCCACATTCCTAAGGCTAAACCTGAGCTGCGAGTAGCTGGGAATTGGAATGAATCTCTCCTTAAACTAGGGTGACCAGCCATCCCGATTTTATCGGGACTGTCCCAATTTTTGCTTCTTTGTCCCGCGTCCCGACCGATGTTTGGTCAGGACACTGGACAAAAAAGAAATGTTGCGCTCCGCCCCGGCTCCGCCCCCCCATCCCCCATTGGCTCCGTCCCCAAATCCCCGCCCTGGCCGCCTCTTCCCCAACCACGCAGCATTCCTCCTCCCTCCCAGGCTTGCAACAGGGCAGCACAAGCCTGGGAGGGAGGGGGTGGCGGGAGTGCCTGGATCCTGGAGCTGCTGAGTCAGCTCCGGCACCCGGGCACCCGGCGGGCAAAGGGGGGCTGGCAAGGGAGGGAGACGGGCGACAGAGGGCTCCTCCCAGGCCGCTTCTGCATGTGGTACAGTTATGACTGGGCACCAGCGGGCGCTGTCTCCCTGCACTTGTATCATGAGCTGTTTATAACAGAATGAAGTAACTGTTCAATACACATTTGTTCTTAACAGTCTGGTGCACAGACCGTGGTGTTTGAACAGCTGCGTCCTTTCAGACCCCTCATTCAGACCGAGTGGTGGGGGAGGAGGCGAGACAGGAGGTCCGAGGCACCCAAATGTACTGATTTAGTTTCTAGATTCATGAACCACCTCTCAGTGTAATTACTGGGTATTTATTTACAAAGTGTTTTTTTAATTATATTTCAATTAACTGGACATTTCATTTAATGCTGAACATCTCTGCAGAATGTTGCCCAGGAATGTCCTTCAGAGGTGGCTGCATCACTGTGATTATTGCGTATCTGTATTTCTGTGGCCCCTGGGAGGACAGGTCCCGGCCCAGGTCCCCGTTGTGCTGGGATCTGTACAGACACAGAACACAGAGACGGTCCTGGCTAAGGAGGGAACAATCTCAGTATGAGACAACAGACAACACGGGGCGACAGACCGGCCTGTGGGTGGCAGAAGGAAGCAATGAGACAATCCTGGCAGCGGGATGGGAAGGGTCTCAGCACACCCATGGCCTCACTGCTGTCAGTTTGTTTCTAGGCATCACGGCAAAGGGGAGCTGGAGGGAGGGTGACAGAAGGGGAATGAGTTAGTTCTGGGGTGTTCCCAGGGCGCGTGTCCACGTGTGAGGGGCAGCATGGGGGACGCTGGCCCGGTTGCACTGCAGTGGTGGCGGCAGTGACCCCTCTCCATGTGCATGTGATAGAAAATATCTGTGTGCCCAGCGATGCAAAGCTCGTCCATTGCTCTCTACACGTCAGACGTGCTGCGCTAACGTGACGCTAACGACCCCTTCCAGCAGCCCCGTAACGGCTGTTCACAGAGTAAAGGCCAAATTCAGAGCTGAGCACCCCTAGCTGTACCCACATGGAACTGACATCCCCTTCCGCCCCCCGCTGGATTTGGCCCAGTGAGGCTGACTCCAAGGAGGAGGGAGGTGATGGCAGCAGCAGCCAGTGAGCAGGGAACAGATTTGCATGAAGGGGCCGTTCTCCGGTGGTGGGGGGTTAAGAGAGAATCGGAGGGTCCCAGCCACAGACCTGTTTGCCTCAGGAAGCCGAGCTCGTCTGGATTCCCACCATGGCCTGGGCCCCTCTGCTCCTCACGCTGCTCACTTACTGCTCAGGTGAGGGAATTGTTTCTTCAGTGCAAAAATATGAAGGACACTTGCAGGTGAGGAGGTTTGTCTGGGAGGATCCAGAGTCCTTGTGCTGAGTGTGTTTGTAATGTTGATTTCAGGGGTCAGTTCGCAGCCCGTGGTGACTCAGGAGCCCTCGATGTCGGTGACCCCAGGAGGGGCTATCACTCTGTCCTGCAGCCTGAGCCCTGGAGCCATCACCACCGGCAGCTATCCAGCCTGGTTCCAGCAGAAACCAGGCTCTGCTCCTCGGACACTTATATACAGCACCAATAGCAGACCCTCCGGGATCCCTGCCCGGTTCTCTGGGTCCATATCCGGTAACAATGCTGCCCTGACCATCACCGGTGTCCAGGCAGAGGATGAGGCTGACTATTACTGTATTCTGTGGACTGGTCGTGTGAATCACAGTGATCCAGCCAGATGTGGAACTGAGACAAAAACCTCCCCAGTCTTCCTCCCCTCCAGCCTGGCCTCTGCACTGGCTGCACAGTTTGGTTCCTGCCTGCAATATGAGTAGGGCCCTACTAAATTGACGGCCATGAAAAACGGATTGTGGACTGTGAAAATCTGGTCTTGCCCCTATGAAATCTGGTCTTTTGTGTGCTTTTACCTTATACTATACAGATTTCACAGGGGAGACCAGCGTTTCTCACACTGGGGGTCCTGACTCAAAAGGGAGATATAGGAGGGCTCACAAGGTTACTTTGGGGGGTCGGGGTATTGCCACACTTACTTCTGCGCTGCCTTCAGAGCTGAGTGGCTGGAGAGCAGCAGCTGTTGGCCGGGCGCCCAGCTCTGAAAGAAGCACCCTCCCACCAGCAGTGCAGAA